CTTTCCCAATTGCGTGGTTTGCGACGGCGGAGGAGAAGAAGGAGGCTGAGAACGAATCGATTTTTTGGTCGGCGGTGGGATCTGCTCCTCTTCCTCGTCCAGTGCCTCGACCATCTGCTGCGTCTCGTTTACTTTACCGGCGATCAGGGGCTTTGTGAACGACGTCAAACGGGTCCTCTTGATTTTCCTGCGCAATCTCTTCGACCCATCCGACGAGTCGTAATTGGGATCGTTGTCCAGATCGACCAGCGCGATCACCGTCGACTGCACGGGCAACGGAACCTTGTCCGCCTTGAGTTTCGAGCTCAACGGCGACCCAGCTTTGCTCACGGTCGATGCCTTCCCCGTTTTACTCGGAGTGTAAGTACCAGCCACGTTCGCGAGTACCGTGGAAGTGTTGTCCAAACCGGAGCCACACCATCCGTCTAATTTACAATTCGCGGTCGCGTCCGAGATCCTTAGAAGACAATTCTTCCCCGGCGAGTCCGACGCGGACAAGTCGGCGCTCTTCTTGTTCGCGTTCTTCGCGTCGGCGGAATTGGAATTGGACTTCGCGTGAACGGAACTCGAGGCTTTGTTGCTGTGATTGCTCCTGGTGTCCAAAGTAAGGATCGCCACTACCTTCGCCGTCCGCTGCGGCTTCTCGTTCATCTCCGTGAAGCCCGGATCCTCTTGTTTCGCCAAGTCCTCCGACGCGACGGCGTTCCCGTTCGAATCAGTGCCCAGACTGTCCGTTTTCGAAGGCAATTCCTGTGTCTTCGTGTCCGCGGATGGGTCCGTTTTCCGAATGTGCTTGCTTCCTCTGAGAGGACTCACGTGATTGGGGCTGGAGGACTTTCCCGAATTCACGGTGAAGTTCAAGCCCGACCGGGTGACTCTCGACACTTGCTCGAACGTGGGGACCGGTGTGTCCGGTCGCCGTTTTACGGTACTCGTATTTACAGGTGAGATCTCGTTGATCTTTTTAGGCTTGGCAGCGGTAGGGCTACAAGTGTCTTTCACCTCTGACGGTTTCATCGGTGGTATCGAGCTACTTCTTCGGAAATGAGTGGGGGGGCTTAGAAAACCATTGTCCAAAGACTTGGAACTTCGCGTGGTCGGTTTCTCGTATAAGGATGCGTTCTGCTCTTCGTTACGCACCAGGGAATTTATGTTAGACGAGGACCTGGTTACTGGTCTAGGAGATAACTTCGAGCATTCTGACAGTGGAATGTCTGGTTGTCTTCTATGGGCCGATTTCGAGGGACTGTTGCTGGGTGGAGGTGTCAAGGAGCGGCCAGCACTGGATCTCGTGATCCTACCCTGCTCCATGACAGGTCTTGGTGTGTCTGGTCTCCTTATCAATGCTATTCTACTAGACTCCCTTTTACTGGTATTTGAATGTTCGTTCTCTTGATTCTGCTTTGGTACATTCGATTCGGCGGAGCTCGTTTGACCATCCGTATCTCTGCTTTCAGGGATTTCTGTCGTGAGATTTATTTTCGCGCTCCTCGTGGTTACTCCGTAGGACACGGTTTCCGATTTACGAGACTTAAGCTTATTCTCTGGAGTCGGTTCCGAACTAGCCGAGTCGTCCGATTCAGAGATATCTGTAGAAAAATGGGCCTGTTTATTGTCGTCATTTCGCGCTGGCTTGGGACTTGTTTCTTCGTCACACGGTTTAGAACAGCTTTCTTCCTCTCCTCCTTCATTGCTACCGATATTCTGACTAGAGCTTGTTTCTATCACAGATGTGGACACGTTATCGTTTACGGACTCGTTCTTCGCGTCCGAGTTTGAACTTTCGTTCGTCTGTTCCTTCCTTGGTGACGCTTGCTCTACGTTCGTCTTCTCTGTTGGCTCGACAGGACGTTGCGACCTCCTGTCCATCTCCGTACTTTCATCCATGATACTACTTTTTTCTACATTCAATTGTTTCATCGTTAATTCTTCGCTCGGTTTACTAACAGTGATTACATTTTCTAAAAGGGAACGGGTTGTTTTGTCTGAAGCCGATTTCGCGGTGGATTCGTTCACCTCTTGAGGTACCACTTTGTGCTTTACGGGCGTACTCAATAAACTTTCAGACACGCTGATCTCTTCGGTTAGGTCAGAGTCGGATATCATTTTTAACGTACCCGACTCTACCGCGGAAGAACAAGAACTAGCAATTTGGGAAGTAAAATTGACATCGGGATCCTCAGCTTCTCCGCTCGAGCTTGCTTCGTTTACGTCGTCGCTTTGCTCCGCTCTCTCATGCATAGACCGTGTACATACCGGAGACACGTTACATTCACCCCGTGTTTCCTCGCTCTCAACTTTCGCGTCGATCTTATCGGACAAAGCCGAGACGTCAGGTGTTTCCTGCGAGCTGAATATCGAGTCATCCAACTGTACACACGCTTCCTCTTCCGAGGAGTCTAAACGTGAAACAGAATCAGATTCCTCTTTCACTACTGTGTCCTCCTTTTTGAATTTACTCTTAGGCGAAGTCACCGTGACACTAGCGCAATGGTTCGCAACCGTTTTACAATTTTCAACTGTCTCAGTTGAACCTTTGCTAGGTGAGAGTTTGCTGGTCACTTCAATACGCTTCAAATCCGACGACGATTCTTCTTTCACAATCGTAGCTTTCTGTTCGTCGTCAGACTTACTGGTAGCGTTCAATTTTTTCGGACTCGAAGAGGACGGTGGCAAAGGTAACGCGAAACTTTCTTCTGCCTTCATTCTCATCTCCAACTCCCTCTGTTTCCGCAGATTACTCGCTCTGCCACGACACTTCGGCTTTATACCCGGCAGGATGGGACTCACGTCCAACGTCCACAGGTTTATCTTCACGTTCCCCCTGGATCTCGTCCGTGGACTATTTAGATCAAAATGGTTCTGACTGAATGATTTATTCGAACGGTTTTTACGCTTCGGATACCCCCCTCTGTCCGATTCGTTCGTCTCATCCTCTTCCTCGTCCTCGTCTCCTTGACTCTGACTTTCCGTGTGACTCGACTCCTCGTCGAGACTGTCTTCGACCACGTCTTCTTGAGACTCCGATTCCGATTCGGTGGTAGTCTCGCTTTCACTTTCCGACTCCTGAGCACTTTTACTGTTATTCCTACGCGACCTCCTCCTCCTCCTATTCGCCGGGAGTTTCTTACTGACTAACTTCTTAGAATTACTAGCATTATTAACCTGATTCTGCGCGTCCTCGCGTCCGAAAGTTAAGGGTTTCTCGTCGTCATCGGCCAACCTCATCCGCCTTTCTTCCTCCTCGCGTAAAGCTCGCAACCGATCCAGTTCCCACTCCTTCTTCTGCTCTTCCAGTTCACGTTCCGCCGCTGCGAGTTGCGCTGCGGAGAATGCGCCCTCTGACTCCTCAACGAACTTCATCGCGTAACGTTCTATGGGCGTCAGCTGAACGCAAAAAGTAATTATTTTAGTAAATCATTCGTTCAGAGGATCCTGTCTTTTCAAAGAGAACAGAAATAAACCGATCTTACCTGAGACACCAAGTTCTGTACTTCGAGTTCAGCTTTGCTGACTTGCACATCGTCCTTGTCCGCGTCATCCAAAGGTATGTTCTCATCGAACTCCGCTAAATCAGCGACAGCCTCCGCCTTGGCTGTTTTCGCTGCTTGGACGTCGAGATCTTCTTCAGCAGCAGCGAGAGCACTCTCCAATGCACCCATCGCCACTTTGTCATCGACACTCTGTCCCTGGCCATCCTTCTGTAGAAATTTGTCCCGATCTTTGTTCTGTTCCAGTACTTCCGCCATTCGAGTCGAAGCATCATTCTCCGTTTGGTCGATATTGAAAAGATCTTGAATAGTGGACTGTAAATATATCAGGTTAAATTGTATATATTCGACACATAAGAAATGCTTGCATTGTAATCTGAAACTATGAAAGTATAGTAATTTCTATGATACTTACGCTTTTAAAGTAAGCAGTCGTGAAATTGCCACCCTCGATAGCCAAGTCTCCAAGCAGTCTTTTCTGATTGGCCTTCTTTAGAATATTTTCTTCCACAGTCTTTTCACTTACTAACCTGAAATACGATATTATAAACATATTAATTACGTTGGAAATATATTTATAAATATACACACTCGTTTCTTTGTTTGTACAAACCTGTAGATATGTACATCTCGTGTCTGGCCTATTCTATGACACCTATCTTGTGCTTGGGCATCCATGGTCGGATTCCAATCGCTGTCATAAAATATAACAGTATCAGCGCCTGTAAGGTTCACGCCCACACCTCCAGATCTTGTTGACAAAATGAAACAGAATATTCGTTTGTCGCCGTTGAATCTCTCCATCAGAACCTGTGTTTTTAGGAATGAAAAGACGCCAAGTTTTAAAGAATTGTAAAACAATGAACGATGACATTCGTAACGAGCCATTAATACCTGTCTTTGATCCACCCTGGTGGTACCGTCTAAACGCAAATATATATGTCCATGGAAATTAAGGAAAGCTTCTAACACGTCCAACATTCTCGTCATTTGTGTAAAAATTAAAACTCTATGGTTCCCTGTCTTGAGCTTCCTGAGAAGTTGATCCAAGGATTGTAATTTCCCACAGTCATACTGTATCAGTCGAGGATCCGGAAACTGAGTCATCATTGCACTAGCTACTGGATGGAACGATGCGAATTTAGGTGACAGTTGACGCTGCAACTCCATTTGCATACGTCTCTGACCAAACAATTTATGTGGAGGTGGATGAGACACGTGAAAACGTGGCGTGGGTGCGCACACAGCAGGAACATGAACAACAAACCTGCAATAACAAATGACATGTTGCAGAATACGAACAAAGAATTTATGAAAATGACTTTTAATTCATACAATTGTGAACGTACCTCTCAAAAACTTCCTTAAGCTCTTCTACAATTTGTTCTGTACTTTTGATCGCTTCTGCGAGTGCCTCCGTGCGAGAAAAGAATTGTCTCCGTGTACGAGCGTTGTCTTTAGCGGTTGCGCAATGAACCCAACCGTTATGCCATCGACACGCTGTAGACGGTTTACCGATTCTTAACGCCATGAACAAATCTTCGCCATACAAAGGACATGCTGCGCATCTTCTTTCATTTATATTCGAGAGAAGACGGAGTTTCGCTTGTCTCCGTTGCTTTCGCTCTTCTTCTAACTGCGGCTGTAAGAATATATTTCGTTCGTGCATGAATACAAAATACACGAAACACTGATAGACAAGATGAAATGAATTGGTTTGACTAATAATTACCAAATAAAATTCGGATTTTGGACGTTCCTTCGTTTGTGCCTTTTCAGATTCCTTTTGTGCGTGTCTGGTGACAATACCACAGCGAATTGATTGCTGTGGAGATTGCCCATTGCCAGCTGGTGTCTGTCCCTGAGAACCAGTCACATTTAATGGTGGTACTCTCATCACGGGTCTTCCAGCAGTTCCACTCGATGTTGTTACTACACTTCCTACAACTTTGTTCACTGTAGCTGCCGAAGTAGATATGCCCATCAAAGATTTCGATAAAACCGTTAAGCGTTGTCCACTCGGTGTCACTACTGGAAACGAAACTGCAGAAACAAAATCATATTAAATATACAGTCGCACCTATCCGATAGAAATTTAGGCAGTACTTTTATTTTCCATAATTTAAGGTCACCGTGGAAACTTTCCTTCACAAACATAAGGAATACATTATTTATGATGATCATGCATTGTTCATTAAGGTATCGGTTTAAAAAAAACACCCACTTAAATGATGTGCATAAATGAAATGAAGATGGATGTGGTGCACATTGCCTGAATTATGAATCACAAATGGGCGGGGGGTCAGTGGGATACGAGCATTCATGGGACAAACCTGTGTTAGTGTTTTGCTGATTCGAAGTCAGAATGATATGTCTACCAGTAGATGTTTGAACCAGCTGTGCAAAACTAGGCACTGCTATTCTTTGGACGGAATCACCTTGTTTAACTGTGACTGTCTGCGTTGTTAGTCGTTGCAATCCATCTTTGATATTCGCATTCCCTACTGTGATCCTCTGTGCATTCGTTGCTGCTGTACTTGGTGTCACTGTTGTACTTTGTGGGTTATGTGCTAGTGTTCCAACAGGGATGGCTATTTCCGAAGCAAACACAACAAATGTTTTACACAAACAGTGGCTTAACGAAAGCTACAATATAATTCAATTTAAGTTCTTGTTAATGTGTTCTCAAATCTAGAATGCTTATAACACGGGAGAATTATAAACAAGCTGGCATGAGACCGATTTCTTTAGCACCACTGCAAAAGTGATTACACCGCGACGATTGTTGAGTGCAACCACTGATCGATGATGCACAGGGACCAAGATTTAGAAATTAAATGTAACATATACGCGTGTACGAAATCAAATAGACAGCAGGTATTACCTTTCACGCTACCCTGATGCTGTACCAACTGCACCGAGTACCCCTGTAATTGTTGACCACCCGATACCCTTAAAGTAACACCTGTAAATACAGATGAAATAATTATAAAGTCATGAGAAATTGATCGCAACAACTTGAATGTGTTTACAGTTGATTTTAACTTGCCTTGTCCTGCAGTGCTTTGATTATTTAATGTTTTTATTAAGGGGGATGTTCCGACGCGTGTAGTAGGTAAGATTCCAGCTAAATTTTTCAACTTCGTTTGAGTCTGTTGTTGTGGTGTGGATGGCGGTTTCGCTTGATTAGAGAGTCTAACGTTAATTTTTATTTTTCCAGGTAGACATCTTGGAGGTGGATCTGGTTGACTGTCTATTTCTTCTATAAGCTTCCGCGGAGTTTGTAACCGCCTTACTCTATGTGCCACAAACGCAGTATGGGTTAACTCCAAATCGCACAAAAGAAGATTCATACTAGATAAGTCGATATGCTGCAAGATACATTTATACGTTACTTAAATTTTTTAGATCCTCGACGACTAATTGTTTGCAAAACAAATAAAAAAAAATATTAAATGTATACCTTAAATGGATCGTAATCAAGAACACTCCATACCAAAGAAGCTGTAATAAATTCTATAGCTTCCATTTGAAACGGCGACACTGTTGGTCTCACTTCAAACAAATTTGGATGGTTACACACTTTACGTAACTGCATTAATACATTGATGACGCTCAGTAGATTACCGCTAGCCAAAGTCTCTTTTGTCCTTTCAAATAGAACGAACAATTAAATAAATTGATGTTAAAGATCCTGAAATTAAAATAGCAACCTAGAAACATTTTTAACGCTTACTTTGCTCTCGACATGAAATCATCATATAGATATCGCTGTCGTTTCGACAATCGGCACATAACAACGTGTTCATATTTTTTAGGCAATTGTTTTTCTACTTCTGTTTTTAATCTTCGCAGTAAAAACGGTCGTAATACCTGAAAGGAACGAATTCTCACGTAAATAACACAGATAAAAATCATTTTTAAAGAAGTAGTATTAGTAAAATTGTTTCTCCAGACAGGATTCGTATGTCATACCAGATTTTCCCTGACACGCGAGTTTTAATAGAGAATTTAATATCTCGCTAAATTTACAAAACAGAGATGCAATACAGAATTATATCTCTGGGTCGGTAGCGAGTAGTAAAATATTTCACAAATATAGATACGATGGCAGATTACGTACAGACCTTGTGCAGACGACGAATAATGTTTTCATTGTATTCGCTGTTCCCTTCTATCATTCCTGTAACAGGATTACTGAACCATTCTTTGAATTCTCTATGCGATTGAAATACATTAGGCATTAAAAAATGCATGAGAGACCATAGTTCCATAAGATTATTTTGAAGAGGCGTGCCGGTAAGCAGTAGTCGTCTGCAAAAAGAAAAGTTATATAAAATGCATTGCAACATGATTCTTTAATATATATCTCAAGTATTTACCGTTGCGTCTGAAAATTTAATAACAGTTGCCATCTTTGCGACTTGAAGTTTTTAATATTTTGAGCTTCGTCCAATATAAGATATTTCCACTTTTTCCTTCTGAAGCTTTGATGATCTTGAATAACTAATTTGTATGATGTTATACAGATGTGAAAAGCATTGGGTTTTGTCCATCCTATCACAAAGAGAAATATGGAACGTTACAGACACTGTTTCTTAGATTTCTTTTTGTTTTTCTTCAAAGCTTCAAACTATTACCTGTCCTTTTTTGTTTTCTTTCTTTCTGCGTTCCATAGTACGTTAAAATCTTAAACCCCGGACACCATTTTTTGCACTCCATTTCCCAATTAAGCATTACAGAAGTTGGTACTATTATAAGATGCGGACCCCAGTTACCTTTCTCGCACGCTAAATGTGCAAGCAAGGCGATCGTTTGAATCGTTTTACCCAAACCCATTTCGTCTGCCAAAATTCCATTCAGTTTTCGATCATACATCGTAACAAGCCAATCCAATCCTATATGTTGATATTCCCGAAGAAGATGTTTCAAAAGGAACGGAATTTTAGTTACAACCTGAAATGCGGTTCATGTTCTTAAGAAGTTCAGAAACAATTTTAGTTAATATAATATGTAAATATTGTCGTAATAATCTTTGGAAAATAAATTAAAAATTTAATTTATTTATGAATTCGACTATCACTTTACTCTGCCTTTCATAAATGATCATGTGTAAATTACTATCACATAACCTTGGATTGAAAGGCCTTCTCTATACTTTATTAAGTAAATACTATTCAAGATAACTTACACTAGTGGTGAGTAAAGTATTTCCTTTTGGTTGAATACTTTCTGCTAACGCAGCTACATTATCCATTTCATCGTGAGCATCTGAGTGATCCATTTCTGCCGTCTTTAAGATATCACAAGTGCGTTAAAACATTTCTTTACTAAATACTAGATAAATAAAGTTAGTAGTCAAAGGTATTGTTCTTTTACCTTCTCATCTGTAGATTTTTCCATAGATATATCTTCCAAGAGAGATTTCAATCCAACATCAGCTTCGTTATCACTTTGTGCTTGAGACTCTTGTTCGCCGACTTCGTTATCGCTTTCTTCACTTTCATTTTCACTACTAATCGACTCCTCGTCGTTCTCTTGACCTTCCTCTTCCTTTGTGCTTTCTTTATCCGAATCTGAATAAGAAATTGTGCATTAGTTTCGTTATTAGTAACGATACTTATTAATTAAATCAAATACATCGAATATCTCAGACAAATGCCTCAAATTACATCAAGAAGTGAGGATCAAGAAATGAAAACCATAACTTGAACCATCAGGAATGGTAAATTATCATCACTGAAGTATTGATATTATAGGGAATAAGATATGATTGTAACAAATGTTTGTTGCATACCTTGACCAGGTTCTTGGTCAACATCCATCGGAGCATCTGACACGTTACCATATTTAGCCATAAGTTCATCGATAGACATTTCATTTTCAGCCTAAAAGAGTTAGAATTATATACTGAAGACTTATCACTTCCTTTATCACATGAAAAAATATATGTACTTTGAGATCGTCCAATTCTTGTTTGTAATCCGTATTTTCTTCCAATTTTTCCTGTTCCATTATAGTTTCTTCTTCATCCGAAGATTCATCCGATGCCGCAACAAAGTCGGTATCACCGTCCGCGACCTTTTCATCATTGGCCTATTTTAATCAATGCAAAATTAAATCATTAGCGCCTACTCTAGATATAATTAAAACTCCAATTCTATAGCAGTAATTTTATAAACATACTTCCTCCGCAATTTCTTTTGAAGGCGATACATTTTTATTTCTATCTTCTAAATAATCAGGTGGCAAATCTTTCAAAAGATCTTCCAGTGGGATTTCGGATTCTCTTTTTAATAATTCAACCTCTTCTTTGTGGTTTGTTACAGACTTTAATTCCTCTTCTGCCTTGGCTATGGTTTCTTCATCATCATCTGAACTTTGATTTGGTTGAAAATCCTCTGCATAAAACAAACAGTGTAATTGTTATATGTAATTATCATCGGAATAATGTAATAAGCGATCTAATTTAGTTAACTTACCGTCAGAATGAGATTTCCCAGGCGGAACTGGAGAAGATATTCGAGAACTATTTATGGAGGCCGGTATACTTTGAGAACCATCGGTTTTATTAAGTCCTTCTGTTAACCATGTTGAATATTTTTCTGTTTGCCCAACAATAAAATTTAAATGTTGATCTAGTGCCTGTTTTCTTTTTTCTTCGAGCCTTGTTTGTTGTTTATACTCCACCAACTTGAGAAAAAAGAAGACAATTTGGTAATCAGTGTACAAGAGAAATATTTTGAAGACTATAAAATAAATGTCCTGTATTACTTCTTTGATTGTATCCATAGAGATGATACAACCATACACAATAATCAGACTTTGCTGTTCCCACAACGAGCACACAGGTTCAATTTGAATACATCAAAACTGTCGGCTTAATAGTGTGGGGTCAATCAGAAATGTGTATATTTATAAGCAAAAAATCCTCACCTTTTCCACATTTGTCCAGAAGGTTTTGATTTCCTTAGCTATAAAACTAGCAATCTTCTTTAGCCTAAGTTCTTGCGATTTTTCGGCTTTCTGTGCTTGGATTGCTTTTTCTTGGAAGTATTTCTGAACCATGCGCGCGCATTTCTTTGCCGCAGCTTTCTTCCACTTCCGTTCTTGAGCAAAATCAGCAGCCAACCAAACCATTTCTTCTAACAAGTAATCCCAATGAGCCTTTGTGCGAGGTGGTTCTTGTACTTTAGGCAATCTTCTCTCCGACCATAATCCTTCGCGTTGCAACTCGGCAATCCTTTGCATAACATATGCTTCCTAGCAACGATATCAATGTATTAATTAATGAGTTAATTAATAATTAAATGATTAAATAGCTGTACGAAACTCGACATACCTGTTTAGCCTTTTCTACAATTTGTTCTTGATTATTTGTGATATCACATGTTGTTGAATTAGAGGCAGGTAATTTAACAATTTTTATAACTGGTTGAGAAGGAGTAGTAGTTGTAGTAGTAGCAGTAGGCGCAGTAGACGTTTTCGCTGCTGTAGTACTAATAGTCGCAGTGGGAGTAGCGGTAGGAATAGGAGTAGAAGTAACAGTTATAGTTGAAGTAGTAGTGGTAGTAGTTGTCGTAACTGATGTAGTTGTTGTAGATATTTTGTCTGCAACTGGACCCGTTGCTGCTGTTGTAGTTGGTATTGGTTTTGGTGAATTCGGAACTACTGGTGCATTGCCTGTAATGACGAAGAAAGATTACTTTATATATGTATGAATATCACTACCAGGAAGTCTGGCTGAAAAGTTTTAGAATGTATCAATAAATCATATGTATCAACAGCGCCCTTAGGCCGAGAAGCATACTGCTGATCAACCTTACAAATGCTGCGAATTAATATCCCCACATAGAGTGGACTGTATTAAGATACGTAAACTTGACACAGCCGTCTTTTGTGGGATCGAACAACAAATACACTACAATATTAGCAAGGACAGTACCACAATGCATACATTATTAACTGAAAGGTGGGCTTAATGTAAACAATAAATAACTTTGTCAAAGTAATAACCACTATGAGAATGAATTATGGGATATTTATGATTAAGGAATGTAAGCTAAGAGACAAAATAAGAACATTTTTCGTAAAAAAAAAAGTTTTCAATAATAATACTTTGTACTTCAATAAGCAACATGCACATTTATTTAACTATTCAAAATATTCGCTATATTATTTGATTAAATTTTCAACCAATTTTTCTTTTACTAATGTAAGTGGTATCTAATACATTTGTTAAGAAAACGGTTCTATTGAAATATTGAAACCTTTTAATTAATTGCTTATATTTTTTAAAATTTGATTGCTTCTTTAGCACTCAAAAAGCAGTAAATAAAAGTTGTAATCATATAATGATTAAAAAAGTTGTACTCAAATGCGAATATATAAATAATTGCAAATAATAATTAATGAATCTAAACATCAAATGATAAGCCTACAGTAATCACCTATAATGAGCGTGGGTGCTAGAGTAGAAGTAGGTGGAGAGTGAACGGTGACTGGTGAAGACTGAATTGCAGCTCTGAAGGCAAACACCATGCCATGGCGGCCCCCTTGAGGCCTACCTGGTACATGTCCTATTATGCATACAATTATTCAATTGATATAAAATGTCTACTAAATTTTCTATTGTTTCCCATATTATCATGTATGCATTTACTAAAAACTTTGATATTATGGCTGTTATTTTCATAGATAGTGTGTAACAGTTTTGTACTTTTTTTTATGTTATATTTAACAATTCAGATGTGACTATTAATTACATGTTACTACTTTTTATAACGATAAATGTAATGGTGTGCCTCCTACTGTTTGGAGAAATAATTCATGCTATATATTAAATAGCACTGTCACATTAACTGTTAACTACTATTAAATGATTTTATAAATATTAATTAGTTAGTTACAAATGTATATACAAAGTTATGTACTTACCTTGTTGATTAAGTTGAGCTACTGCAGCAGGCAAAGTTGTAGACACTGCGACTGGTGTAACATTTATGCCAGAAATTTTTACTTCCGCACACTGATTTACAGGAACTACTGAAGAAACAGACGGTGTGACAGTTGGTATTAATGGAATTTCTGATATTGCTGGCAGTGGCACTGTTAAATCTTCGTCGTCATCGTCTGGATCTAATCTATGTTGCCGTAAAAAATGCAGGTATTGAGGTGTCGGTGGTCTCTTCCTCCAGGTTTGAAAATCCATCATATTGCCTCCAGCATGTAGGAAGAATAATTCTGATGCATTTTCAGCATATTTCTCCCTTATTGCACGCATCCTCTTCATTTTGTGTTCCATAATTCTCCTTTTATAACCCACTGCATCGTCGGTACACATAGTAGGTTTTTCTGTAGAATCTGCTAACTTCAACTTTTTTCTTGCTGGTGGTGATTGCATTGAAGCTTGAGATGTTGGAGCAACAAACATGTTGCCAATAGAAGTTCTAACAAGTTTTGGAGATGTTGCTAGAACAACTTTGGGTGAGTTCTGTCGAGATGGTGAGGGAAGAGGTGAACTACTTGCACCTGCAACTCCCACAGTACTTGCACGTGGTGGAGTACCGCTAATATTAACAAGTCTTGTAACACCAACTTGTTGAATATTAGAATTTG